GCATATCATGGGTGTGGGTGTGTGTGTGTGTGTATGCGTGTTGTGTTTGTGTGTGAATGAATAGATGAATGAATGAAGGGATGAATAAATACATAATAATAAGTGGATCAATGCATAGATGAGAGCAGCTTAGCTCAGTCGGTTAATCTGGTGGTATCCACTGTGTGTGCGCTGAACCGTGGAAATCTCTAGGTCCCTGGTTTAATTCCCATCGCTGCTTCTCATTGTGTTTCAGCTAGAGGGCTGAAGTACAAGTTACAATAGCGCACCGCCTTTCGGATGAGACGTTTAAGCCGTTGGTCCCATGTGCATTTATGGCCCATGTGCACTCTTCGGAAAAGAGTAGGGGATTGTCCCGGTCTACTGCCCAATTACCACCAGAAGGACCCCACTGGACACTGGACATAAGTCTTCTTCTAGTTTCGTGGGCTATCCTAGGTGTTTACACCGAATAAATCCAATCCAATCCATGTAAGGAGGATGAATGGGTGAATGTATGGATGCATGTTGATGGAAGCATGAATGGGTAGAATGACAGATGGATGGATGGATGGATGGACGGACGGATGGTTGCATTGATGTATTGAAAATAACATAAAATAAAATCAATGAATTAATTCATGAATTATTGAATCTAAAAAAATATAAATTAAAAAAAAACCAAACAAACAAACGAACGAACAAATGAATAAATAAATGATTAAATGGATACCGTAATGCAATTAATGGATGGATCGGTGAATGAATGAATTAACGAAACGAATGAGTAAATAAAATGATTATATGAATGATTTGGCCTAAATGCATGGGTGAATGAATGAATGAATGAACGAAATGATTGAATGGATAGATTTATAATAACATTTTCTTTTCTGTTTTTTTTTTATTTACTTCTATCAATAGAGATAATATGTGAGGGAAAAGAAGAAACCCTAAATTGCACTGGATGTCATCTCATACACGTGTTATCTGCAACATATGGTCGCCACGAAGATGGAAATGTATATTGCAATCATGAATCCATAAGTGACACTAATTGTGGTGAGCGGGATAATGCACTGAAAGTTACTGCTCAGCATCTAAACAATACATACACTTGTTCTCTGCACGCAGACCACACTTTGTTCGCTCTTGATCCCTGTAGAGGAACCTACAAGTACTTGGAAATTGACTTTGAATGCATTCAAGGTAAGTTTGATTCTATAATGCATTATATTACTGTGTAATGATCGATTTTTATTATGACATACACAGTGGGTACTTATATCATATATTATTATTATTATTATTATTATTATTATTATTATTATTATTATTGTTATTGTTATTGTTATTGTTATTGTTATTGTTATTGTTATTATTATTATTATTATTATTATTATTATTATTATTATTAACACAATCATATTGCTAGCATCACAAAAACAGTGCATGTAGTAACCCAATTGAGATTACGGTATCAAAGTGAGTACCGATATATATATATATAAATAATATAATTATGCATAGATTATTTAATTTATTCATACATACATAGTGTGTAGATTATATGTAATAGTATTTGTAAAATTTCACATAGTTTTATGTAAATTATATTAATATATTCTGCTTCTTTGGTCAATTAATATCTCTTAATGGAGTTGTTCCCTTTTGAAGGAAAGCTATTTTAAATTCTTACACTACACTACATTACACTAACTTATATACAGTTTTAAAAAACAAATTTTGTTTCCTTACTATCTTCTAAATTATATAGATGTGATTTTTCGTTGAAAAGCTTTGTTCAATACGATCACATCAATTTGTTTTATCTGTTTAACTATTGTTTATATAAATTCAAAGTAGAAACTTATAATGTATTACTGTATATTACTTAATTATGCTATATCAACATTTTTAGCTCTTCTTTTTATAAATGAATAGTTTGACGCAGAAACTTACATGTTATACCAAGAAAACTCACAATATAAAATAGTATACAGTAATGTATTATAACTATACTATAAATACATGTTAAACCTATTTTTATTACCATCATCTGTTTAGCTTTTTCGTTTATTCAAATTATAGTTTAGCGTAGCAACTATACAGTAGCAAACGGTGTTTTTGTATTAGGCCTATCTGATCAGTAAAGTGCTCACTAGGCTACTATGCCCAAACAGTAGATCATGTACAGTACAGTATTATACTTTGACCCATCAACATTTCTTCGCGAATCAAACATTGGTCTTGAGCCCCTACCCATGGGTTGCGGAACGGAGCATGCATTACTCAAAAGTGATTACATTTTGATAAGGATTAATTAATTTGTAAATGCAAAGTTTGGCATGTTACTATACAGTATTGATAAAATATTTCGTATATCGCATTTTACCTTTGTAAATTCAACTTTTTAATTTTAAAATTTGTTTTACCCTTCAATTCTTATCTTTCAATTTTTATTTATATTTAATGTTTTTATCTTTTTAATTTTTGACTGGTTTTATTGATTTCATATCTGTTATTTTGTGTTTGTCAGTTTTAATGTTTTTGGGCAAAATGAAATGAAGTATTTTATATACAGTAGTCCAACCTAAGTCACTATATTAACGAGTGATTGTAACTCCGAAATCTAGTCGCTAATAACACCATATCATCAGCATAGATTACAATTTAATTTTGATTTTATATTTATCCATCTATAAAACTTTGCAACTGCTATACACATAATGTTCACCAGTAACCATAAAGCGAGCTTTACTAATCCCACAAAGGCATATATTATTTCCATCTTCTGCAACTATCAAGTCAGGGCATGATCGATGAGTGCGAGGAACAACAGTAACAGACCCTCTAATAACGGTTAAGTTATTATTTTTTTGCTCTTAACTTGACCAATATCATTTGACTGAACATGTGGCCTACCGTTATTTATTTTAGAGTAAAAGTATATCATGTTTTCTTTGTGACAGCTCTGTCAAACACGTTAATATATAAATATATCAGATAGGACCTATTGATTTTTCCGCTTCCAAGAAAGCCATAATTGTTTGTTTGCATTAAGCACTCATTCCTCCATGCTCATACACTGTATTTTATGCAGTTAACCTCTGATTGACGTGTAATAATGTGCAGAGTTGTCAGTATATTTGCAAGGATTATTTTTATATCTAAGCAGGTGTTGATCCCTGTCAAATGTTAAACTGCCAAAATGGGGGAACGTGTGTTCTTCGTCCGCTTTGTAATAGCTGTAATGCATCATGTATGTGCAGATCATGTTTCACTGGAGATTTATGTGAAGATCGTGAGTAGAATATTAGCTCTCCCTCCTTCTCTCACACTCGCACTATCTTGAAATGTAATTAAATTTATATACTTCTCATTTAGAAGTGATGTCATCAATTCAATTAAAGATATTAATATTATTATAATTCCTTATTATTATTATTAGTATTGTTATTAATATTGCTTAACCTATTGTAATTACTATTTGTATTGTAAAATTATTATTATTATTATTATTATTATTATTATTATTATTATTATTATTATTATTATGTATTAATGCTTGCGGTACACCATGTAGATAGTTCTGAAAAGACGTTTCGATTGAGTTGCTCCAATCGTCTTCAGGAGAATAATATCTGCAGAAATCCCAAAACATGATATACTTTGTATTTTTTGGTTGGTGAGACTTTCTCGTGATTGGTTGAAAACTGAACAATAGCTGGGACTACGTGTGAAAAGGCTAATACAAAAGCCAAAATCCACAGTCTGTGCAAAAAGGGTGGGGTTTGGCTGGAAAGCCAATACAGAGGCATAATTCTGGCTAGGTGATAAGGAAAGCCAAAAACAATGGCATAAATTGCAGTGTGGCGGGAAAAGTGTTGCTTTGGTTTAGGTCCGATTAAACATGTACAACTAAATATCGCTGATGACAAATCCAATATCTTGGTGTACTGTATCGTGTTTGTGAATTTCTATAGCTTCTCTGGTCCGTCTGGAATGCTGTACTGTCGCACTTTGTAATAATCGTCGCACTTAATTTGTAATACCTGTCGCACTTTTGTAACAAATATGTCACAACCATGGACCTATTTCATCAGCCTAAACGAGAAGGCAAATGTAGACCTTATTGGAGCTCACCTAATTTCGTTTAATCTCAAAGTGAACAAAGATAAAACAGAATACACAGTAATTAAAAGAGAAGAACCGGTCAAAGAGAACTGGAGACTAACAAAAAAGTTATAGGGTCCCTTCTTGGAGACAAAGAAGATATCACCAGAAGGAAACAACTTGCTTTGAACGCAATGAACAAAAAGACGGCACTCTGGAACAGAAAAGAAAAAATTAGATTAAAAACAAGACTGAGGTTGTACAACTCACTAGTGAAACCGGTGCTTTTATACAATAGCAATACGTACATGGGCCTTAACGAAAGACGATGAAGTAAAGCTAAACACTTTCCATAGTAAGCAACTCCGAAAGATTATTGGACTGAAATATCCCCATAGAATATCAAATAAACACCTTTATGATAGATGTACGGCGAGACCCTTGTCACTAGAAATTTTAGAATCGAGATGGCGATTTATTTGGCCACATCCTGAGACAAAACACAAACAATCCTACAAACCTGGCAATCAACTTCTACTTCACCGAGACCAATAACAGAAAATTCAGAGGACGTCCAAGGACTACAATAATCACAACTCCCATAACGATCTCAGTAAGATCCAGTCTACCAATACTCAATATCCCGCTCAACTAAAAATTAAAAATGATATGGAGAAATTAAAATTACTGGCACATATTTGGAAAGGGCTCATCGAGGAACTAAGTAAAGCGGCCGAAGCGGAACTGTCATCGTCGGACTTTTCGGCGATATGGCGATGATGATGATGATGGACCTATTTCCATGGTCACACTTTGTAATAACCGGTCGCACTTTGTAATAGTCAAGCTGTCGCACTTTATAATAGCTGCCTGGAATGTAGGTAAGAATGGCCCCGGAAAAATGGCCCCGGAAAAAATGGGCCTGGAAAAAATGGCCCCGAAAAAAATGGCCCCGGTAAAAATGGCCCCATATGACAGGTAGGTAAAAATGGCCCCAATGAAAAATTCGGTAATAGAAATGATATATATTTTTTAATCTTCAAATATTTAAATACTGTATAAGCAAGAATTAAATCAAGAAATAAAAAATGGCCCTCAATTATAAAATTCAGGAAAAAAAAATTAATAATAAATAAATAAATAAATAAATGCTGTAAAATACCCTGTATCAAAAATTTAATTAATGAATCAACATAAAAACCTACACTTAACAAACAAACTGATTCAGTCAAAGCCAAACTGTTTATCTAGTTAATCTGCTTAGAAGGGCTAATTATTGCTTAGCTCCACAGTGGCTCCACACAGTAGGCCCTATTGATATGTAAATTAATTACTTCCTGTCACTGCTTGGTTTTTAGTTTTTTCAATTTACTTGATCTTGAGAATGGTTCCATGATGGACCCGAAACTTCGATCTTTCTTGTCATTAAATTTTGTTTTGAGATTATGTTCTTAATTGATTTAATAAATAAAAGCCACAAATAATAATTTGATTTACTAAATTTCATTATGTAAAAATAGTTATGCTTTAACATAGATTAAAAATATGTTATGCCTTACTTATTTTTAATCTATGGTCTTTTTAATTAATTTTTTTTTTATTGGAAATTCCGTGGTGCAGAGTAAATTTATCAAAACCCATTAAGTTTACAGTAATATGAAGAAAAAAAATAGTTTATACAGAAATAGTATCTGAAATGATCTCAGTTTCCAAAGTTAAAGCAAAAGATCTAATCTAAACACACAATATTAGGCAGGATGTATTTGTTTGGAAAAGAACCCACTCTTTTGTGAAATTAAGAGGTTTATAGGTGAAATTTTTTTCCTTTGAACTGAGATCAATATGTGATTTGTTTTTATGTCTTTAAAAGCATTTGTATTTTTTAACAATTACAGCAGATGGAAATAATGTTAATGATAATCGAAAAACAATGGCCATTGAATAACATTTTTTGATAGTAGAAATAAAAGTTTTAAAAACGTTATTTCACTAACAAAGTAGAGGAATGACATACAGTATACAGTACTTAACTACCAAAATATGCAACTCATAGATAACCACAAACTTTCACTTTTGAATATCAAATGAATTAACTTTACATGTTATAAACAATGCAAATAAACAGTAGTTAAAGGATGTGGATCAATTGTGTGTTTGAATCACAAGTTCATGTATGGGAAAAGGGAGAGGCTTACTTTCTTGCAAATTTATAAATAAATTGTCTGTTTAGAGTTTATTCAAAGAAGTATTGCTTTTAGTAAACTGAATAATTAGGAATACATTTATTTAAGCAACTAATTTAGTTGCATACTTGGTTTTTCCAAGTGCCTACTACTGGCTTAGAATTATGTATAGTTACGTATGGCAATTATGCTAAGAATTAAAATGGCGTGTGATTGTGAGGGTAGGGTGATTATGGTAAGATTATGTGGTATTGCTAAATCCCACAAACCTCCCAAAACACACTGTAGAAAATTAAACAATTTAATTGTGATTGACTGACTTGGTATATCAATAAGAAAATTAAATACATTCATAACTATTTTGTGGTTAAAATTTAGAATTTTTATGAAAAAATACTTGCAAATACACCATAAACCTCTAACACATTGCAAACCCCATCTAAACCATATAATTATGATTGTAGAACTCTTTTTTTCTTTAAAAAAAAAAAAATAATTCGATGTTCATACTAACCCACTGTTTGTGGGGTTTACCAATACACAGATTGAATTTCTGGAAAATTGTGATTCCGCTTCCTTAAAATCGCCAGAAGTAAATTATTTTAGTATTAATAAATGCATGATTTATGTTGATTTATTGATTATGTTGTTGCTATTTTTTAACATTTAAATGGAAAAAAATAAAAAGTGTAATTCATGGCTTTTTATTTATCTTTGAATATTTTATCATTGAATATTAATTCTTGCAAAAAGTAAAATGTAAATGGCAATTTGTTTGATGTTAGATTCCTTTTAAAAACTAAATTATTCAGATAAAAAAAATGCATATATTGACTCAAGAAAATCAGTTGTAATACAGAATTTGATTATTGGGGAGATTCCTTTTAAAAACTAAATTAGTTAAGAGAAAAAAAATGCATATAATGACTCAAGAAAATCAGTTTTAATTTAGAATTTGATTATTGGGGCCATTTTTACCTACCTGTCATATGGGGCCATTTTTATCGGGGCCATTTTTTCCAGGGCCATTTTTCCGGGGCCATTTTTTCTGGGGCCATTCCGTACACCGGTACCTGTCACACTTTGTAATACGCAAAGCTGTCGCACTTTGTAATAACTTCTGTCATTCAACTATGTTATAACTTTCAATGGATATAAAAACATATTGTAGAATGTTGCATATTACACTGTTATTGTATTATAATTTTTCAGCTCGGTGACTTACTGCGGTACGTCGTACGTAATCCCAAATCAACAAACTTGAGATTTTCTTTTCTTGTGCGTGAGCATAATACTACAAGGTCAAGGTCATAAACAAATTGTACTTTTAATTAGAATTAGAATTTTAAAACACGGCAGCTTACTGTTATAAACGTATGTTGTGAGATTTTATTGCGCTTGTGTATGGTACTGCGAGGTCAGGGTCCTATACATGTTTTACAAATACAACCGAGTTTTAAAATTATAATCAAGTATTTGTAAAATTTGTATATGACCTTGACCTCGTAGTCTCATACACGAGCGCAATAAAAAAAATCTCACAATATACATTTATTTTGGACTAAATACAACGCAGTAGGCCACCGAGTTTTAAAATTATCACAAGGATTTGTAAAACTTGTATATGACCTTGACCTCGTAGTACTAGTGAACAGTTACATTTATACAGGAATTTAACTGTTCCCTGGTAGTACCATACACGAGCGCAATAAATTATCTCGCAGCATACGTTTATT